GTTACCATTTGTTCTGTCCCCTGCTGGAAGCTCCGTGAAGCTGCTTTCTCATACCCCCTATTTGCTGGTCTCTGATAGGAGTCCAAGATGGTGGATCCGTGCTGTATTAGCTGATAGTGGACCTATCCATGTATGTCTCCTCACTCTCTGTTGTCAGTTTCTTATTCCATTTGGTGCTTGGCTGCGTTCTTTATCTCTTCATTTGATGTTTAGGGTTTCAGGATTGCTGTTTTCTTTGTTTGGCTTAGTTTTTCAGATCTTTGCTGTGGAGGGATGGCATGGTGCTTCTGCCTACAGCGCTGTGTTGCCGGAAGTTATACAGTCAATTGTTTTTTAAAAAGATTTATTCATGTATGTAGTTACCATTTCCAATGCTCTTCATTCCTTTATGTAGATACATATTTCCATCTACTGTTATTTTCCTTCTGACTGAAGGACTGTAATATTTCCAGTAGATAGGTATGCTGGTGATGAATTCTTTCAGCTTTTGTGTGTCTACAAAACATTTATGTTTGTTTTTGAAAGATATTTCATTGGGTTATGAAATGTTAACTAGGCAGGTTTTTTGCTTTCATTTCTTTACAGATGTACTCCACATCTTTTCACTTGCATTGTTTCATACAAAAAATAAACTGCCACCATTATTTTGGTTTCTCGGCATGTAACATGTCTTTTTCTCTGGTTGCTTTTAAGATTTTCTCTTCATAACTGGTTTTGAGCAATCTGTTTATGTCTTGGTGTAGTTTTCTTCATGTTTCTAGTACTTTGGGGTCACTGAGTTTCTTGGATCTGTGGATTTATAGTTTTTATCAAATTTGGAAAATTTCCATCCATTATTTCTTCAAATATTTTTCTGTCACCCCAGGCATTTGAAATCCCACAGCTAAATTCATTTTTAATGCTCTGTTCTTTTTTTTTTTATTCTGTTTTCTTTCTGCATTTCATTTTGTCTATTATGTCTTTAAGTTCACTAATTTTTTATTTGGTAATGTTTAATATGCCATTAATCCCATCCAGTTTATTTTTCACCTCACACATTGTAGTTCTCATCTCTATAAGTTAGATTTGAGTCGTTTTATATCTTCAATGTCTCAAAAACCATCGTTTCATATATATTCTACAGGGCTTTTCTTTTTTTAAGGGGTGGGGGGTGTTTTCGGCAGAAGAGTAAATCAGGCCCCTGTTACTTCATCCTGGCCTGAGGAGGAAGTCTATGCTAAGGGTTCACTGTAGATTGAAGATCATCATCCATTTTTCAAAATTCTTAGCCTCTGCCTCTTCAAACATTGCTTTTCTTTCTCCTATTACTCTTGGATTCCAACAACATGCATGTTTGACTTCTTCACTGTGTGCCACATCTCTCTTACTCTCTTTTCTGTGTTTCCCATCCATTTTTCTCTCTGTGCTTCAATTTGCTGACTCTCTACTCACCTGTCTTATCGTTCACTTACCTGCTTTTCTGCTGTGGCTAATATGCTAATCAACCCATCAGAAGAATGGCCTGGGGGCCACATCTGACCTCCTCTAACTTCACAAGGGAGGAGGAGAATCAAGATCAACAGCCCAAGGCTGATTCCTATGAGGCATGCCTCCTTTCTCCACCATCTTTACCAATTCTGACACATCCATCCCTCCCTCAGAACTCTCTACTTCTCTGTTGGGTTCAATAATTCATTGCAATAGCCACACAGAACTCACAGGCCATATTCACAATTATGTGATCTACTGGGGAAGTAACAGGTTACAATTCAGGTTCAGGATACAGTTCTTCCATCAGGACAGCCTCTTATCAGCCGTGCCCACATGCAAATCTCTCCCTGGCCCTTGGCCTGGCCTCTGCACTGCTCAGACAAGTGTTAAAAAGTCTTTAGCTTTGCCAGTTAGCCTCAGCCCGAAGACGCTCAACTCTAGCTCTGGAGGTCGGTAAACCTAGCTCTACCAAGTGTCTGTGGAGGCTCCCTACTCCGCCAGCAAGCCTCTTGCCTAAAGGCACTCAGCTTTCTCACTCTGTGAGCCTGGAAGCCCACTGCACCATCTCCTTCTGGTCTCTCCTGCAGCTGTTTCTCTGCCACCACTTCTTGCCATTTCAGTGTTAAAGCTCTCTCTCTCTTGGTCTCCTGGTTCCAGGAGTTTCTCAGCACACGGATCCTTGGTCCGAAGGATGCACTCCGCCCCTGGCCCTTCTTCCTTAGTGGTGATAAGAGCCTATCCTCCCGCCTCTGGGATGGCTCATTTCAAGCCTAGCAGGATGCAAAACTAACCAATCCCTTCGTTACGGTTCCACAGACTTTACATGGTCCCACCCCCAGAAGGGTGCCATGAACTTTATTTGCATTATTAGCAAGCTATCCAATCCCTCTGGTTGACCATAATTACCTTATTTGGGAATTACAAGACTATGGCAAGAAAGGTCACGCGCACCACACCCATATAATTAATTCATTTCACTTGTTACATTTTTCAGCTTGAGAATTTCCCTTTAACTCTTTTTTCTTGATTCTACGTTTCTAGTGTAATTCTATCTTTTCCTCTATTTTCTTGGAAATATTAACCATAACTATTTAAAGTTCTAGTCCCCAGTCTGATAACTCTAATACCTGGATCATGTATGGGTCTGTTTCTATTATCTCTTTTTTTCCCTCTTAGTTTTCCATTATTGCAGTGTGATAGATCACTTTTGTGTGTTGCCTTTCTAGTCATGGTCTTGTAACTCCCACCCAAGTGATTGGGCAGAACTGTGTGACAGGGTAACTGTGGCCCGACAAGGGGACTGGTCAGTTTTGCCATCCCCTGAGGCTTGAAATGAGCCACCCCAGAGGCAGGAAAGAGAGAATTCCACCATTACCAAGGAAGAAAAGCCAGGAACCAGCAGAGACCCAGCAGCAGGAGACAGCGTGGTGGGCTTCCTGGCCCACGAAGAGAGAAAGCTGAGTGCCTCTGGGCAGAGGCCAAGGGCCAGGGAGAGGCATGCCTGTGAGCATGGCTGGGGAAAGGCTGTCCTGATCGAAGAACTCTATCCTGAGCCTGAATTGTAGCCGTTACTTCCCTAATAAACCGCAATAACTGTGAGGGGTATTGTCTGTTAGTTGTGTGTGACCACTGCAATGAATTATCAAACGCAGCAAAGAAGCAGAGAGTGCCCCAGGTGGGATGGTTGGAGTCAGAATTGGTAAAGAAGGCGGAGAGAGGAGGCATGGCTGACCCCTGCCTCATAGGAATCAGCCTTGAGCTATTGATCTTGAGTGTCCTTTCCCTTTGTGAAGTTAGAGGTGGTCAGATGCTGCTCCCACGCCTTTTTCCAGTTATTTAGTCCTATTTCTTGTTGAATGTTGAATACTACGTATTAAAAATTGTATAGGCTCTCAATATTGTTTTCTTCCTTGTCAAAGGTTTTCTTCTGTCAGGCAAATAGAACACAAGCATATCCTTAAATCTGCTCTAGGCTAACTTCCGGACTGGTCTGTTTCAGTTTTACCTTTACTCCTAGGGCTTGGTCTTGCTGTTGTTTCTCACTCAAATGCTTGGGATGCACTACCACTTCACCTTGGCAGGACATGAACCACACATTAACTCCTCAGCACTATGCTGCTGAAATCTTGGCTCACAATTTTAGCCTTATGGCTTCTGCTATTTGGTAAATGTTTCAGGGAAAGAAGACATCCAGGTTTTTGAGTTCTTCTTCCTACTGTTCCCTCCTCAAATTTTGCTCCTCAAGTTCTCCCGGCTTTTGGGCAATCATTAACACCAACCCCTGGCTCCTCAGCCCAACAGTACTGCTGCTGTTTGCTGGAACTCTACTTCTTGTGCCGTGAAATGGTAAATGTTTTTGGGGAAAAAGTCAAGACAAGTATGGAATTCACCTCATTGTGCTTCCCTTCTCTCAGGGATGTTGTCCCTCAATCAAGTCCATGGTTGTTACTAATTCCTTTAAACAGCTATTTTATGAATTTTGTCTAGCTTTTCTATTTGTTTTTGTGGGACAGTCAGTCCAATACAAACAATTCCATCCTAGCCAGAACTAAAAGTCTCTAGATAGTGTATTTTTGTCTGAGGTTTTCAAAAAAGCAGGAAATTAGTAATGTCATAAAAATTCAAGTTTAAATGAATAAATGAAGCAATTTTCACCCTTCTCAAAAATCTTTATTTTTTTCACCCTCAGTTAAGGGGCAGCAAACTTGAAAGTGATATAAATAAATAATTAACGGTGTTTATAATTAATTACATTATATTATTCAGCCTAATGGGCAAACTTTGTGTCTGATTCTACATTCTGCAAAATAAAGCCAGGTGCTAACATTATTAATTTTTAACTCTCTATAATGAAAAAAGTCAAACACATACAAAATTAGACACCTGATAATTTTGAAGTTTCATAATTTTAGAAATTTAGATGTGATTAAAATAAACCTTGAAAACCCAGAAAATAAAGAAAAATAACTTTAATAAAAATCAATTAACAGAGAATAATAATATAAGCATTTAGTTTAAGTATAGACTAGTGTTTGTGGCTTTGTGAAGAAGAATCCATCCTTTTGAAATATAAATGAAAGTTTATGCATGTGTAAAGTTCAAATAGCTTTTCTAAAAAAAAGTTCTCAACAATGATACCCAAACATGAATGAAGACGAAAGCCTAACAATTTTAGCCTTCTGGCTTCTGCTATATTTCTTGAAGTCTCACCCTGTGCATGTGCAGGTTAAGATTTGGTAAATACTTCTTCTATTTTCTAGAGAAAATAACTCACTAGAAATCTCTCCTACCAAGAAACTAAAAACGTAAGTGAATCAGTAATAAAACCCCATTGCCATCAAGTCGATTCCGACTCATAGCGACCCTACAGGACAGAGTAGAACTGCTGCCCCATAGAGTTTCCAAGGAGAGCCTGGTGGATTCGAACTACCAACCTTTTGGTCAGCAGCCAAGGCACTTAATCACTATGCCACCAGGGCTTCTGAATCAGTAACAGAGGTGCTGAAAAGAGGATTTAGATGTGCAATTACCTTCTAGTCCAATAGATGGCAGGTGCCGTGGAGCTGGCACTGAGTGGTAGACGAGGAAACAGGCCAGCATGCTCAGCTGAGATTCTTCAAAGGGCTGCCTACTGAGATAGGCTTGTACACACACATTACCCCCAGCTACGAGAGAAACACAAACAGAAGTGAGCTAACTGACTACAGAACTGAGAGACACAAGAATACTTGCTCTCCTAGCCATTCCTACAGGCTTTTTACCAAGATCAAACATTCCTATTTGAAGAGGTCATTTGGATCAGCTGTACTGAAACCAAAGTGAGGATACTATTACACTGTTCTCATCCTTACACTCTTTTTATTTCTCTATAGCTTCATGATATATTTTTATAGCATTATAAAAATGTTTTGGTCTTTGACTGTGTGTCACTTGGCTGGGCCATGATTCTCAGTGGTTTGGCAGTTAGTACAATGATGTAATTTGACAAATATGTAATGATGCAGTTATGCTTCATTTTGTGGTATAATGTAATCACCTCCATGATGTGATGTCATGTGATCAGTTGTAAGAGGAGTTGTGGCCTGCATCCAATATATATGGACGTTATGGCAAAGCTCACTGGCTTTTGCTTGCTCTGGATCCTGCATCCAGCTTGTCATCATCTGACCTCCAGTTCTTGGAACATGAGTCAGCGGCCTGCCGTACTGCCTACTGATCTTAGATTCACTAGCCTCCGCAGTTCATGAGCCAGCAGCCTGACATCTCAACTATCTTAGGTTTGTCAGCCCCTCCCTGCAGCTACGTGAGCCAGGAGAAGCCTCCAGCCTGACACGTGACTTGGGACTTGCCAGCCTCTACAATCACGTGAGCCATTTCCTTGAGATAAATCTCTCTCTATATATATATACATATGTGTGTGTGTGTGTGTGTATACTTCACTGGTTTTGCTTCTCTAGAGAACCCAGACTAACACAATCTTTAAAAACAAATTCCTTTCCCTGCCTGGTAAAATACCTGCTGTACCACAAAATCTACTTCTTGCTTGAGCTTCCAACCCTGACTCCTGCCATGTGTCACTGCATACACCATACATAATTCTGATTTAGAGGGCATAGGATGGCACCTACAAGTGATTCTGAATATCAGCCAGTTTACGGAACCAGTATCTTACACCAGCCAATCACTGAAATTTTTGGAAACCCAAAGTATTTAATAAAATTATTTTTTTCATCAAGAACTCGGTGAGCAACCAAAACTTATGATGCAGCAAAGGCAGTACTCAGAGGAAAACTTATAGTAATAAATGTCTACATGAAAAAAAGATCTCTAATTAATAGTCCAACTCCACAACTTCAGGAACTAGAAAGAGAAGGGTAAACTAAGCTTAAACCTAGCACAAGGAAATAAAGATCAGAGCAAAAATAAATAAAATCAAAAACAGAAAAAATAGACTCAATAAAACCAGAAGTTGATTCTTTGAAAAGATCAATAAAATTCACAAACCTTTAGCTAGACTGACAAAGAAAGGGAAAAGATGCAAATAACCAAAATAAAAAATGAAAGAGGGGACACTGCAACTGATCCTACAGAAATTAAGAAAATTATGACAGAATATTATGAACAACTGTATGGCAACAAACTAGATAACCTAGATGAAATGGACAAATTCTTAGAAGTACACAACCTACCCAAACTGACGTAAGAGGAAACGGAAAGTCTCAGCAGACCCATAACAGGTGAAGAGATCGAACTAGTGATGAAAAACCTCTCAACAAAAAAACAGTCATGGTCCAGATGGCTTCACTGGGGAATTCTACCAAATATTTAGAGAAGAACTGACACTAATTCTGTTTAAACTCTACCAAAAGGTAGAGAAGGAACAGTCCCCAATTCATTCTATGAAGCAAACAGAACCCTGATACCCAAACCAAAGACACCACAAGAAAAGAAAACTACAGGCCAATATCTCTTGTAAATGATGCAAAAATCCTCAACATAACACTAGCGAACAGAATCCAACAGCATATTAAAAGAATCATACACCAAGACCAAGTGGGATTTATTCCAGGAATGCAGGGATGGTTCAACATTAGAAAACCAATCAATGCAATACACTACATCAGTAGAACAAAGGGAAAGAACCACATGATCATCTCCACTGATGCAGAAAAAAATTTGATAAAATCCAACACACATTCTTGATGAAAACCCTAAAGAAGACTGGAATAGAGGGAAATTCCTCAATACGATTCAGGGCATATACGAAAAGCTAACAGCCAACGTTATACTTAATGGAGAAAGACTGAAAGCTTTCTATTGTTCCCTTGAAATCGGGAACAATACAAGGGGGCCCACCATCACCATTTCTATTCAATATTGTATTAGAAGTCTCAGCCAGAACAACTGGACAAGAAAAAGAAATAAAAGGTATCCAGATTAGAAAAGGAGAAGTAAAATTATCTCTATTTGCGGATGATATGATAAAGAAAATCCCATAAAGTCCACAAGAAAACTTGTAGAGCTAATAGAAGAATTCAGCAAAGTTGCAGGGTACCACGTCAACAAACAAAACTCAGTCGGGTTTCTATACATCAGCAATGAGAAACCTGAAAGGGAAATTAGGGAAACAATTCCATTTATAATAACATCTAAGAGATTGAAATGTTGTTAGGTGCTGTCAAGTTGGTTCCGTACAACAGAATGAAACACTGCCTGGTCCTGCACCATCCTCATAATCATTGTTATGCTTGAGCCCACTGTTGCTGCCACTATGTCAATCCATCTTGTTGAGGGTCTTCCTCTTCTTTGGTGACCCTACACAAGAGACTAAAATACCTAGAAATAAATCTAACCAGGGATGAGAAGGCTTTATACAATGGAAACTCTAAAACACTACCGAAAGAGATTAAAGAAGACTTAAACACATGGAGAGATGTTCTATGCTCACGGATTGGAAGACTCAATATTGTTAACCATTTTGTGCTTGGTGGTAAATATAACGACCATAAACGTTTTTAGCCTCTGGGGTTTATTGGAAAGCTGCCGTACCACTGACAGTGCATGCTGCCGCAAGGCAAGTGCCTTTATGACTGTCTGAAACTGAACCGAAGAAAGAGATGTGTGCTGTAAATTACTGTTTTTTACAGGGTACTGTATGAGATGTCTGAATTTTTGATAGGAAAAATAAAAATTTTCACATATGTACCAACAGACTCCAGTGGGGACTCTAGGGTATAATTAGTGCTACTTCATATGTACCACTGAACACTTAGGGTAGGCCTGTGGAAGGGGGTAAGGAAAAAAAAATACATACTATTTACCAAAAATTCAGACAGGCCCAATGATTCAGAATGATTCCGTTTATGAAAACACACGGTATCAACAAAAAATTCAAAGGAGAAAATAATTGGGTCACCAAAGGGTTAAGATGTCAATACAACCCAAAGCTATCTATAGATTCAATGCAATTCTGATCAAAATTCCAACAGTCTTCTTTGCAGAAATAGAAAAAACAATTCTCAACGTTATATGGAAAGGCAAGAGGCCCTGAATAGCTAAAACAATGTTGAAAGAGAAGAACAAAGTAGGAGGACTCACACTTCTGGATTTTAAAACACACTATACAGCTACAGTAATCAAAACAGCCTACTATGGGTAAAACAACAGACATGTAGACCAATGAAGCAGAATTGAGAGTCCAGAAATAAACACACACATCTATGGTGTGTTTTTGACAAGAGTGCTAAGTCTATTTGATGGAGAAGAAGAGTTTCTTCAATAAATGGTGCTGGGAGAATTTGATTTTCACATGCAGAAAAATGAAATAGGATCTATGCCTCACACCATACACAAAAACAAATTCAAAACGGATTAAGGACCTAAATGTGCAAACAAAAACCATAAAATTCTTAGAAGAAAATGCAGGGGCAAGCATGTCAGGCCTAGATTTCAACAATGGATTGTCTAATATAATAACAAAAGCACAAACAGCAAAAGCCAAAATAAATGAAACCTCAGAAAAATTAAAAACTTTTGTTCATCAAAAGACTTTACCAAAAAAGTGAAAAGACAAGCTACCCACTGGGAGAATACCTTTGGAAACCATATGTCCGACAAGAATCTAATAACAAAAATGTATATAAAACTTTGACAACTTAACAACAAAAAGACAAATTAAAATGGGCAAAGGACTTGAACATTTCACCAAAGAGGTCACCAAACACATGAAAAGATGCTCAGTGTCACTAGACATCAGACAGATACAAATCAAAACCACAATAAAGATAACACTTCACTCCCACTACGAAGGCTAAGATTAAAAACAAAAAACAAAAAAAACCAGAAAATAACAAATGTCGGCGAGGATATGGGGAAATCGGAACTTTTACACATTGCTGGTTGGAATGCAAATTGGTACTGCCGTTGTGCAAAACAGTGTGGCGGTTCCTCAAAAAACTAAAAATAGAACCACCATATGACCCAGCAATTCCACTCGTAGGTATATACCCAAAAGACTTGAAAGCAGAGACTTGTACACCAATGTTCACTGCAGCACTATTCACAATAGCCAAAAGATGGAAACTCAAATGCCCATCAACAGATGAATGGATAAACAAAATGTGGTACATATATACAATGAAATATACTTAGTCAGTCGGAGGAATGAAGTCTTTGATACATGCTACAGTATGGATGGAGCTTGAAGACATTATGCTGAGTGAAATAAGTCAATCACAAAAGGACAAATATTGTATGACCTCACTTATATAAAAAGACAAGAAAAGGCAAATGTATAGAAAATAAAGTTTACTAGTGGTTACCCGCAGCAGGAAGGAGGGGGAAAAAGAGGGTTAACGGTAATAGAAAAATCGTATTGATTACAGGTAG